CCCTCCCCCGCCCCCAGTTACCGGATTGTCGGCGACATTGGCTTCATGTGCTGTTGCCAGAGCCGGTACTCTCGCATCCACGCCCTCCAGTACATCGAGGACCTGGCCGACAGCTTCTTCCGCCAGTTTTCCCAGGAAGTGATTGCCTCCTCGGTCCGGCCCTTCTCCCTGATGGCCTTTGGTGCGAGCCCGACGGGCGCATGCGCGCGCGCGCGCGCGCGCAGCCCTCCCCACTCGCATGCGAATGGGGCACATACTGACCCTCCCCGTCCCCGTCGCCGCCCTCGGCAGAATCCACCGTCCAACGCCTGACCCGGGAATTCAACGACTCGTCGCTGCTCTCGGCTCGTGAGGCCACCTCCCGCGGGGCTGGCGCCGTGTCCAGCGATGTCAGCACCGGCGTCTCATCCAATACCCACCGCGCTAGCCATTTGTCCTCCCTCAACGAGGAGCTGGTCGATGTGGCTCGTGTCATGACCATCGGCATGAAGGACGTCCTGGACCGGGGAGTCAAGCTGGACAGTACGCGCCCTCCTCCGTGTGGCTTGCTGCCATTTCCCCCTGTCGCTGTGCCGCCTCCCCGCCTCCTCCCTTTTGCGGCCCATCTAACCCCCCCCCCCCCCCCGCTTGCTGGCACGCAAGCCCCCCCCCCCCCCCCGTGGCACCAGCCATGGAGACCATGTCCAGCCACCTGTCCGTCGCAGCCAAGGAGTACAACCGCCAGACGCGTAACCTCAACTGGCAGGCCATGCTCCGCCGGTATGGTCCGCCGGTTGTGGTCCTGCTTGTGGTCCTTCTTGTTTTCATCTTCTACTGGGGTGTGCTCCGGTAAGTCACCAGCTGTCTCCTCCCCTCCAACCCCTTGTGGGCTTTTTCTTTTCTTCCCCCCCCCCCCCCCCGGCGGGTGCCTTTCACCAACTTGGGGGCCGGGAAAAAGCGAGGCAAGGGCGGAGGGGCAGCAGGCGCGACAACTGCTGGGCCTTCCCCTTTTGTCCTTTTCTCGTCCTCCCTTCCCCCGTCCACCTGGACACCTGACTGTCCTCGTTGCCGGATAAATACATCCAATACAGACACACACATACACACACACACACACACACACACGCACGCACACACACACACACACACGCACACTCATGAAAATATGCATGCACCAATTATGTGCCGGCAAACGCACACCCTCCCCGTGCCAGAGGGGCCTTTGGAACAACGAAAAATGTAAATATATATTTCTAAATGTGCATCTCCCCAGCCTTGGGCAGATGGCACCAGGAGCACGTTCATGGGCTCCACTTTCTCCGGTTAGCATCTGCACACACACACACACCTGCAAGCATGATACACATATGTGCATATATATATATGTATGTGTGTGTGTGTATGTGCATGCGAGTGTGGCTTTTGTGCGCATGGTCTAGGCCGATGCCAGGCCCAGTAGGCCGATCGGCAGGAGGGCCAGCAGCCAGCCCGCCTGGTAGATGAGCAGCGGGGCAAAGACCGTCCAGATGAACAGATGGCCCCGCATGATGGTGGCCGAGACCAACGCCCAGCCGGCAGGCCAGCACACCAAGCCCACCCAAGCCAGGCCAAATGAGGGTCCACCACCGGGCGGGGCCCCCGCGGCCGGAGTTCCAGCCGCCAGAACCGCCAACAGCGGCCCGGCAAACAGGGCCACCGCCGACAGGGCGCCCACCACCGGCGGGTAGAACCCCGGCAGCCCGGTGTAGGCTCCGCCAAAATCGATGGTCCCAATGCTGTTGGTGTTGCCAAGAGCAAAGAAGGCTGCCCGGGCCAGGACCAGCCGCACGGCCAGCGGGCCCAGATGCCGCGCCACGCCGAGAAGGTCGGCCCTCGGGCTGGCAGCCATGGTCCCGGGCAGGGGCGCCGCCTCGGCCAAGTACAGGCCCAGCTCCACGATGACCAGCAGCAGGGCCGCCTGGTGCGACCGACTCAATAGCACCGTATGCAGGAAGACCAGTCGCACGAGGGCCAGGTGAGCGCCGCGACCGGTGGGCCCACGCCGGGTGATCCACGCGAGCCACGCGGCGACCGCCAGCCCCGGCAAGTACACGAGGTAGAACCCGCGCGCAAGGAGATCAGCCAACGGCCCCGGGGCGGCCAGTAGGCGCGACCGGTGGAGGACCACCGGCAGGGCACCCAAGGCCGACCCCAGGCCGAGAGCAGCTTGCCCGGGGCCCGGGCGCGTGCGCGCCGGCCCCCACCCCACCGCCAGCACCAGCAGCAGGTCCGCCAGCACCGGTCGCAGGAGCCCGCCAGTTTGGTCATCGAAGAAGCGTCGCACTGGGCCGCTCACCGCGTACTCGAGGAAACCCATGGGGTTCCAGATGTACAGGAGTCGGGCCAGGAGGGCCGGCCACAGGAGCCGCGCCAGCCGGCCGAGAGTCCACGAGCTGGCGTCGAAGGACTTCGAGGCATCGCGCCAGGCCAGCAACAGGAGCACCGAGCTCAGCCCATAGAGCCAGACAAAATGCTCCTCCTCGACGAAGCTGCTCGAAAGGAAGGTCAGCGGCTGGGCGACCACCAGCAGCAGGGCCAGATACCCCCACCAGGGGCTGGCTGTCGGGCGATCGGTCAGCCGAGCCAGGCGCTTGGTCAGACTGGCCGCCTCGTAGCCGAGGAAGGCCACCAGCGCGAGGGGCAGCTCCACCATGCGCCTGTCGCCGGTGGACAGCATCCCCTGGCGCAGGTGCGGCTCCAGCACCAGGCCCACCGGGATGATCAGGGCCGCCGGGCGCAAGGGCGACTCCGGCCGGAGACGGTCCAGCAGCAGGAAGCCGCCCCAGCAAATGCCGGCCAAGATCACCGCTCGGGCAGGCAGAACCGTGAAAATGGATCTTCAAACGTGGCATCCGGCCGACGGGACAAGCAGGTCAGGCGGTGGGGCTGGATCAGAGGGAGAGGAGGGTGTTGCATGGGGAGGAGGAGGCGAGCGGGCGAGCGAGCGGGAGGGAAAGAGAGAGGGAAAGAGAGGGGGAAAGAGAGAGGGAAAGAGAGAGGGAAAGAGAGAGGGAAAGAGAGAGAGGCGGAGAGGCGACAGGCCCCGACAAAATGGCGCACCGGGCCGAAGTGAAGGCAAAGTTCGCCCGCGGGAAGAGAGCCGCATGCAAGGCAAAGTAGGCCACCGCCAGCAGGCAGCAGGCCAAGTACATGAGTTTGGTGAAGTCGGTCGTGCGGGAGGTTGCCTGCCGGACCAGGGCCAGATGCGCGGCATTCAGGAAGGAATCGTAGGCCACCGTGGCCGCGTCGCAGTGCGCCAGGGCCGACATGGCCAGGGCCTGGCGCGCCTCGGAGGCCTGATCCTTCAAGCCCAGCCCGGCCTGGAGGTTGCCCAAGCACTCCCGATGCAGGGACACCGCCGACACCAAAGCATCCAACGCCGTGGGGTCGGTGCTCTGGTCGGGCCCTGGCCCGGGGGCGGCCGGTGGCGCGCGCGGCCGACCGTACGCCAACTTCCGGCCGGTGAATTGCTCCACCAGCGACAGAAGGTAGGCCAACGGCGAGCCGATGGGGACCTGCTGCCGGCGGGCCGGGGCCACTGGCGGCGGGACCGCCCCGGCGGCTACCGCTCCGCCAGGCGACCAAAACCACAAGCGTGCCAGCTGCTGGGCATTCGAGGCGAAATGCTGCGCCGAAGCCAGCGACATGGCCAGCTGCCCGTCTGCCGGGGCAATGGCCGGGGAGGAGGAGGAGGAGGAGGAGGAGAACCAAGCGGTGGTTAGTGCGGCTGGTAGTGGGGGGGGGAGGGGGGAGGGGAGACGGGCCGAGAGGGACTCCTGCCAGGCGGGGACATCTATGACAGCCCGCGGTCGCCCAGCCGGATGGCCAAATGCAGGCACCACGCACCGAGGGTCGAGACAGGGGGAACAGGCAACCGAGCCAGGGAGGGGACCACACGGCCGACATTGTCCGCCGGCACAGGGACCCCGAGCAGGGCAGCCAGCGACGCGGCCAGGTCAATTTGGTCCATGGTCGGCGGGATGCTGTCACGCTCGCGGTCGAACTCCGGCCGCCGGGTACGCCGGCAAACCGTTCCCTCCGGACTCCCAGTCCAGTAGGCCACATCGCGCGGCAGGGGATGCTCAGTGGATGGCGCCACAAACAGGGCGATGGCCGAGCGCTCGCCCTCGGACGCGCCGCCATGGTTGCCAATCTGGCGGCCGGAGGGAAACCCCCAGGGGCAGTCGGGCGCCGGGAGAAAGGGCGCCAGGAGCCAAGGGCCGGCAGAGATCGCAGGACCAGATAGTTAGCCACAGGAGACGGGGGGGGGGGGGGGAGTGCCGGGTGTGTCGGCCGGTCGGGCGCACCTCGTTCATGCCGTGATCGCTGAGCAGCACGACGACCGTGCGCTTGCCATCGCGCGTGTCGGCCTCCCGGGCGCCGCGACACACCCGGGCCAGGACCAAATCCATCTCGCGCTGCTTTTGCGGCATCAGGCTCGGACTGCGCGGCCCCTCCAGGTGGCCGGCATGGTCCAGGCCAAGGTAGTGCAGGACCAGCAGGTCCCACGGGTCGGTGCTCGGGCTGAATTCCGCGTCCAAGTGCCGGGTGACGTTCCGGTCCACTTCGACCGTATCCTATGCCGGGCCCGGCGGCGCCGGACATACAAGGGCAGGGGCAAGGAGCGCTCAGTCAGCGGACGCGTCGGGCCACAGGAGCCGGCCGGGCAAATGCAAGCCCCCAACATACACTGACAAAGAAGGACGTAGTCCCCTCGAACCGGTCGAACGAGCCGGGGAACAGCCGCAGCCAGGTGTCATCACCATAGAAGGCCAGGCGTTTGCCGGCCTGCCGGAGCCGCGCCATCAGCGTGTCATAGGCGAAGGCCTCGCTGCCGCGCGACGATGCGGGCGCACCGCCGTCCGCCGGGTCCGGCGCCCCGGCATCGCCGCCCATCGGGAGCAGATTGTACACCAAGTCCATGAAGGAGGGGATTGTGCCCGAGACGATGGCTGCCAGGGGTGTCAACAGTCGGAAGGCGGAAGGCGGAGAGCGAGGCGAGGGGGGGGGGGGCGGGGGGGGGGGGGGGGGGACGGGAGAAGCCTGGCTCCCGCCGGCACAGAGGCCCGATGGAACATGGCGGTAAGAGGGAGATGAACCCCCAGGGAAGAGGGGGGGGGGGGGGGGGGGGGCAACAGGGAATCGAGAAAAAGGGGGGTTGAAGCAGGCCACTGGAGGGGCAGAGGTCCCGCGGGCCTACCCTTGATGCGCGGCATGGTGACCGTCGGCGAGTGGGCGAAGGCCCGGAAGGGCAGAGCACGCCCGGCGCGAATCAGTCGCCGGGTAAAGTCGAAGGGGTGGATCTCGTTGCCGGGGACCTCGCGACCAGCCTGCAAGTCGGCCTGCAGGCCGGCCTCCCGATGGCGGCGAATGGACAGGGCCTCGGCCGCCGCCCAGTCGAAGGCATCGGGCGCGGTGGCTCGGCCGCCGGCAGTCAGAGCCGCCGCCGACACCGTGGTCAGGCCCTTGGGACAGAGTGTGGCCGTGATGGAGGCCTGCGCGGTGTCATCGTCGAGGGGCGGCGGGGCCGCCGGGCTGCCGGCCGGCCGAAGCAGCGAGCCATCGAGGCTCCGGTCAATGCCAAGACGCTGAAGCTCGGCCGCGGCTGCGGCGAAATCGGCTCCCAGCGCGGGAGCCGGCTCAAACACCATGTCCGATCGCAGGGCATCGACCATCAGGATGATCGCGCGGTCGAAGTGCCCGGCCGACTTGGTGGTGACATTCCCCTCGGCCGTGGCGGGGGGAAGGTGCTCACGCACGGCATCTGCCGTCTCCTCGGCCGTCGGGAAGCCCACGGAGCTGAACACGGCCCCCCATGCAAGCAGCGTCAGTCGGAGGGGCCGAGGCAAAACCCGCGCCCCTGTGCCGCGTGGAGAGGGCCGGGCAGGGGGGCAGGAGCAAGAGAGCAAGCAGCGACGCACGACAGAAACTCATCCACCTGGTTGATGGAAGGGTTGCTGAGAGACCCTTGGTCCGGGGTAAGGCGGCCAAAGGTCACCGATGGGCTTTTGGATCCCAGGAAGAGGAGAATGAAGCAGCAGGCTACCCCGGCGGCCAGGCCGGCCAGCAGGAGAGCCGCCACGCGTGAGAGCAGCGGCGTCCGGACGGGCCGAGCCGCCGAGCTGGCGGGGGCACCCGGGTGGCTGGAGGTCCCGGCCGCGCCAGGCCCCGGCGCGGCCAAAGGCCCGTCCGGTTGGGCAGCAGGCACACCGCGGCGGCGCTGCCGCACCTGGGCACCGGCATCAGCCATCGCGCCAGACAGGGGCCGAGGCGGGGCGCGGAGAAGAGGAGGGGGGGGGGGGGGGGCAGGGCGCATGCCCAGTCTCGCCGCGGCCAGATGCGTCGAGGGCTGTGCCTCGTAAGTCGGACTGCCCTCTGTGTTTGCGGCAATCTAGCGCGCCCTGCGTGGCGTGGCCGCCCGGATGATTTCCCGCCCGGGCTGCCGTCCGGTACCGGCGGCAACAAAACAATCATGGGAAGAAGATCGCCGCCGGGTGCCGCCAGGGGGGGCGGGGGGAGATGGCGACCCCACGCACACCTGCACGTCGATAAATGCCCCATCTTCGAGGTTGCTGCCATGTGAAGCTCCTGTGGCTCAGTAGGTAGAGCGTGGGACTGTTAATCCCAAGGTCCGCGGTTCGATCCCGTGCGGGAGCGCACATCTCTCTTTTTGCCCGCCTCTCCCCGAGGTCACATTCTGTCTCCGGGCCGGTGCCTGCGTTCCGCCCATGGTGTGTTCCCGCACCCGGGGGCAGGAGGACGGGCGCACACACGCACACGCACACGCACACGCACACACTCAGAGTGGATGCTTGGGGTGCGCACCTCTCCCGCGCCTGCTGGGGGGGGGGGGGGCTGGCAGCCGTTTCTCTCCCGGGGAGATCCCCTCAGGCAAGAGTTCAACACGCATCCTCTTTTGCTAGCACCCAGCGATTCCCGCCCAGTGAAGGGCGCCGGCTATTTTTTCCTGCACAGCCCCGTCTGGCCCTCTCCTGCTGCATCTCTCCCCCCTCCCCTCCTCCG